TGGATTTGTTTCTTATAAACATGCAGCTTTTCGCTTCACAAGATGTTAACTGATGGACTGGAGTCGTATGTATTACTTGTGGATTATTGTGATGTTTTTATCAGCTGTTTGGACTCTCATTCTGACGGCACCCATTCACTGCAGAGGATCCATTGCTGAGCAAGTGATGTAATGCTACATTTCTCCAAATCTGTTTCATGCCACACTTTTCATGCAAACACGCAAATAAATTCATTTGTAGCATTAAGATTTTTTTATGTCAAAACTGGAGTATATGTGTTACATATTTAGCCTGTAATGCAATTATGCAAATTGGGATACAGCCAATCAGTGACATCATTTGAGGGGTCGTACACATGTAAAATAAAAAAATAAAAAAGTAATTTTGAGCCATTTATAGAAAGTCATGTCCCAGATATCACACATGTCCTAGTTTCATCTGCCACATTAATCACACACACACTTGCCTCGTCAATTGATTTAATTAGAGTTTTGATCGTCATCTCTCCTGATCGGCCATCAATCATTTGCCGGCGAATCTAGAAAAGACAGAAAGCAGATGTTAAAACTTATCCATGAGCTTCTGCTGATTTAACAGAAACTGATTCAGCCGAACGTCATATTTAACACATGAAGTGAGTGTGCCGGTGCCACCCACACTGAAAACAATGATTCATTTGTTATGAACAACAGAGAAAGAGTTCAACGAGGACAATCAGCACTTCAGGTTAGTGAAGATTGTACCTCCTGTTTGCTGCTGTCTTCTACTTCAGCATCCAGGAAGTCCAGCGTCACCGGCTCTGGCAAATCCTCCTCCTGCAATCAGCCAAAAATCAGGATAAATCAGGGTTATTACCGTTAACAGAAACTTCACCACCAGCCCCAGACCCTGTAAATGAACCACATCACACAAACTCAATAAACTCACAATGCTTTATGAGGCATCAGAGTATGACGAAACCAGAGCGGGCCGTATGTTTCACACACAGCAGGCGGTGAAGCGACTCTCACCAGTGCGTCCTGATAGACGTTGGTCCATTGCACCTGCTTGGCACTTCTTCCTGCCAGAACCATGGGGCGGCCCAACACGTCCAGATATTCCTGCCACACACATTCCTTTAAGCATTTTACCTTTCATTAATACGCCATTTGTGTTTGGCAAAAATCTAATATATATATTGATCATTTCTGATAATATCTATATTGAATTTTTCAATATTTAGGCCTACATATTTTCTCTGAAATAATGTTTGCTTTTTTCATTCAGAGGAACCACAAATTAAAAATGTATAGCACAAGACAAAAAAATAAAAAATACAGTAAAAAATGTGAATTCCAATAGAAATTATAATTGAATTAATTATATGTATCAATATAAAAATACATACTAATAACTAATATTGATATTTTCTGTGATTGACTCACAGAAATAAATCAGACATACAAGCTCAATTGTTGTTTTTGCTCCTGAAATTCGAATCATACAAATGAAGCGCCTTATATTTGTGAGCAGCGTGACACCAAACAATCAGGTACATAGCTACATTAAATTTGAAAATTGAGTGAATGTTGACAATGCTGCTTCAATTTTATATCGCCAATATTAGTGACATCATAATTGTGCTGCCCCACCGAGAACGTGAACACACGAACCTGCAGAGACCATCACATATCCCACAATTACCCCGGCAAATTAGACCGGAAACGAGCGGTTTCGCTGGAGGAAAGGGTTAATTATGAGGAACAAACACATCCAGAGGACAACAGCACACCAGAAATACAAGACGCTCAATGGTATCACGTTTTACAACAAAAGATAATTGTTGTGCTTCCACCTTTACACTTTATAAGACAATACTTGAAAGATGGATTCATTATTATTGTTAATGGAAAGCACAACAACAATAAAACAGTACAACGACAAACTAACTAATATAACATTTATAAATAAAAACTAATAAGACGAGGCATACATCACATGCTGTATTAGCCTATATATTGACAAATAAATCACAGAAAGTTTAGCAAACACGTGGAATTAAATAAATAAATAAATGAATAAATAAAAGAGCCTCCGTAGCATAAAGTCAGGTAAACAGCAAAGACAACAGACTATTTAAAACTAAAACAAAGAAGAGTAATACTAAATTGGCTTTCAGTGACAGTGCTAGAGAGTTTTTTTTTTTTGCCAAGACAACCAACATGTTCACCTTCTCTGGTTTAAGAAGGTTTTAAGTCTTTTAATTTACTTTTACATTTCACTTGAAAACCAAGTCCTCCGTCTGCTATCGTTTCCTCATAATTTTTGCCAAATTGGGCTATCAAATGAAAACTACTTTCAAAATCCAACAATCAAAAGTAGCTGACTGACCCTGGCCACATTGACGTAATCATCGTCGGAGAGTGTGTCGAGCATCTCTGTGACCGAAGCTTTGATCAGTTTGAGAGTAAGTCCACTGACACTGCCGCTCCTGTGAACGGAAAAATGTCCATTTTAAACAAAACCAGGCAAACGCGCAGCTCACAACAGCACACACAAATACTCACACGTCTACGAGGATGACCATATCTTTGGGCGAGGATGCTCCTTGAATGTACCTGAGGAAAACAACGACAATTTTAAGTATTATTAAGATCCGTTAAGTCCCAAACCTCAAACCTAAACTGACCAATCAATGGCTATCAACAGTTTCTACAGATGTAGACTATGGACAAAAAAGTTTATTTACTGCAGGTTAACTGGACAGTTTGGCTTCTGATTGGATGTCTCCAAACATAGTTACAGGTTCACTGAAAGAGAAAGGATTTAAACACTCAAAAGATACAGGAAATGTATTACCAGGGTCGTCGTCGTACATCATAAAGGTCAATCTTATCCGGCGCTTTCCAGGGAGCAGCTACAAGACAAAATATGTTACTTATTTGGGACATATGTGGTCTCAGGCTGCAATCCGATTGGTTGGTTTCACAATTTACGCAAAACGAACTATGATCTGCCTTAGTACATGTCGATCAGATGGTTACCTGGATAATATCTCGTGACACCGGTGGCGCTTCCAAACGCTTGCCAGAGCAACGACGGGTCGTCTCTGCTGTTCTCTATAAAGACTCGCTCTAACGCTTGCGTCCAGTTCAGCTCGTTCAGGATCACCGGAGCTACAGACAGACAGACACGTCATGAACTCTCATTGACTCATACAGAGATCTAATAGCATCAGTCTGGTTCCTCACCGCCTTTGTAGATGTCTGTGGGGATCTGGACAGCGGTGTGTGAGTAATTCACATGGTTTTTGAAGTTCGGATCATACATAAACTCCAGTTTCAATGACATCTGGGAATCAATGTCCTCACCGTCCTGATGAGAATCATGATATAATCAGAGTCCATGGTTTCAGCTTGAGTCCGATCTTTATTCCGAATTATTGTCATATGGTGATAAATGAACATGCAAAATAGTAGTTTAGGAGTTCAAGCAACCAGCTTCTAAAAACAAATGGTGTATGAATGTATGAATATTTCCTATTAACATAACAAGAAAGCATAATTTTCCTTTATTACATATGCTTTTCTTAAAATAGTTCACAGGCCCACTACATTAAATCTACATTGAAAGTCTACTAATACAATATTTTTTATATGTTGTTCTCATGGGCAATTGATAGACATGTACTCACATAGTCCATCTCTGCTTTAGAGTTATAATATTCAATATTTTCCTCCTGAAATAAACACACACAGAACAGAGATACAAAAATCTGCTGTTTAGGATCAGTTCGAGAACCTGAAGATTCAAATACAGATGTCCTCCACATGACAAACTCTTAGTTCAGCACAATTCACTCGTGCGGCCAGTCGAGCTGAACAGCTCTAATGAGTCAAATCAGTCAGAAAAACGAGACATCGCAATCTATTGGGTTTAAACAGACCCTCCAGCTACAGACTCACAGAAATCATGACTCACAGCGTGTGTGTGTTTGTCTGTAAAGCTCGTATCCGGATCAGAGAAACATAGATGTGAATGTCAGAGGAAAAAGAGCCTCAAGTATCGCAGATGAAAAAAAAGTGCAGCTTTCGATTCAAGAATGAAACGCTCGATTGGTGCGGTTCATTTTAATGAATCAGTTAAAACAACACAGGAGTCACTGGTCTGAATCGACTCGGATGACTCACTCACACATGCAAAAGCAATGTGATAAATGAAATTTCAAACTGAGTGAAAAGTATTGCGAAATGCACATAAGTGAACGTAAAAAACATAAAGTGGTGCTGTTAAAGTCGTCTGACCTTGATTCCATCCTGCCACCGATGATCTTTCTGAAGACGCTCCGCTTCACTTGCAAGTTTCTGGCAGAAAATATGAACCAGAACTGTTAAAAATAGTCTTTAAGGAAGAGCATGTGTGATTTTGTGTGTTTTCTCACCTCAAGTGCTTTGCGTTTCTTGGCCAGCAGTCTCTCGATGTCAGTCGCAACTTTCTCTACAATTTCTCGAGGCTTATTTCTGACCAAACTGAACTGTCTTCTCTTCTCACCGTAGATCTGAAACAACATCAAAGCATTCTCTTGATCATATAAATACACTACTACCGTTCAAAACAGTAATATTGTGAAATATTATTACAATTTAAAATAGCTGTTTTCTATTTGAATATATTTTTTAATTATAATCTATTCCTGTAATGCAAAGCTGAATTTTTCCAGTGTCACATGATCCTTCAGACATCATTCTAATATGGCGATTTGCTGCTAAAGAAAATTTCTGATTATAATTTTTTTTTAGCATTTTTTGATCAATAGAAAGTTCAAAAGAACAGCATTGATTTGGGAAAAAAAGGAAATCTTTTGTAACATTATAACAGTCACTTTCAATCAATTTAATGCATCCTTGCTAACTAGAAGTATTACTTAAAAAGATCTTACCCCAAACTTTTAATGGTACTGTATATCCTCTTGATGGTGCTAAATATATTTATATACCATCAAGAGGATTCATCAGCTGGGGGAAACCGTGACTGAGCTGCATGTTTGTGTTTTGCATTATTAATGCTCATCGCTGAGAAACCCGTGTAACTTCCTGTCAGATGTGATGCACTAAAAATAAACTCATTTTGCAGGGATTCCACCTTGTGTAAATGAGTGTTTGCGCTCCAGCGTGAGGTGTGAGACAACAGCTGCTGAAATCCAGCGGCGTGACTCAAGCCTGAAGCCTCATTACCCCGGTAAATAACCTCTGAGTCCAGAACAAGAGCTGTTTAGAGCTCAGATCAATACAGCAACATCAAACACATGCTCACTTACACACTGGCAACTTCAACTTTCAGACACAGCATTTAAAGCAAGACAGTGAGTCAAGATGACACCCATGAACTTATTACAAATAAAAAATAAAAAAATCAATCAATCAATATTATAGCCTAAGATTACACAATCAAATCTAGTCCTGCTGGTTGAAGCGAGACTCAGCATTTATTTAGCAATGTTTATCTTTTTGTGTTGTTTTGGGTCTTAAATTTTAAATACGCAAATGTGATAACAGCACAAAATGAGAACCGAATGCAATTTGCAAGCCACAATTTTCCATCCTGCATGTTGGTTCTGAGCCAGAATAAAAATCAAATTTAAATTCAATTTTTAATTTTAGTTTTAAGTTCAATTTGATATTAGAGGATATTATTGAAGAGGATCGTGCAGAACCTGTGCATGCACGGCTTTTAATGGTAGGCCTATGTTTTTTGTTTGTTGTTGTCTCATACTTTTAGATACGCTGTTGTAAATGCTACTGCTT